AACAAGGCTATAGTAATCAAAACAGCATGGTACTAGTACCAAAACAGAGATGTAGAGCAATAGAACAGAACGGAGGCTTCGGAAAGAACACCACATAACTACAACCACCTGATCTTTGACAAACCAGACAGTAACAAGTGATGGGGAAATGATTCCCTATTGAATAAATGCTGTTAGAAAAACTGGCTAGCCATACGCAGAAAGCTGAAACTGGATCCATTCCTTACACCTTATACAAAAATTAATTCTAGATGGATTAAAGACTTAAACATGAGGCCTAATACCATAAAAACTCTAGAAGAAAACCTAGGCAATACCATTTAGGACATAGACATGGGCAAGGACTTCATGACTAAAACACCAAACGCAATGGCAGCAAAAGTCAAAATACACAAATGGGGTCTAACTAAACATAAGAGTTTCTGCACAGCAAAATAAACCATGATCAGAGTGAACTGGCAACCAACAGAATGGGAAAAAAATCTGCAATCTACCCATCAGACAAAGAGCTACTATCCAGAGTCTATGGAGAACTTTACAAGAAAAAAACAACCCCATCAAAAAATGGGCAAAGGATGTGAACACTTCAAAAGAAGATATGTATGCAGCCAACAAACACATGAAAATAAGCTCATCATCACTGCTCCTTAGAAAAATGCAAAGCAAAACCACATTGAGATACCACCTCATGCCAGTTAGAATGGTGATCATTAAAAAATCAGGAGACAACAGATGCTGGAGAGGATATAGAGAAATAGGAGCACTTTTACACTGTTGGTGGGAGTGTAAATTAATTCAACCTTGTGGAAGACAGTGTGGCAATTACTCAAGGATCGAGAAATAGAAATACCATTAGACCCAGCATTCTCATTACTGGGTATATACACAAATGAGAATAAATCATTCTATTATAAAGACACATGCACACATATGTTTATTGTGGCACTGTTCACAACAGCAAAGACTTGGAACCAACCCAAATGCCCATCAATGATAGACTGTATAAAGAAAATGTGGCACATATACACCATGGAATACTATGCAGCCATAAAAAAAGATGAGTTCATGTCTTTTGCAGGGTCATGGATGAAACTGGAAACCATCATTCTCAGCAAACTGACAAATGAACAGAAAACCAATCACTGCATATTCTCACTCATAAGTGGGTGTTGAACAATGAGAACACATGGACACAGGGAGGGGAACATCACACACCGGGGCCTGCAGGATGGGGAGCTAGGGTAGGAATAGCAGTGGGTGGGGGCATAGGGGAGGGCTAGCATTAGGAGAAATACCTAATGTAGATGATGGGGCGATGGATGCAGCAAACCACCACCAAGGCACATGTATACATATGTAACAAACCTGCACGATCTGTACATGTACCCCAGAACTGAAAGTATAATAAAAATAATATATATAACTGCATGCATTATTTCCTATAAAATAATGTAAAGTGCTTTTATGGAGAGTCACAATTATGCCTATGCATAATAAATACTAAATTAGAGCCTCACTCAATCTGGCTCTCTCCCAGTTTGAGCAAAGGCCCTGGTTCTTACTGAGAAAGTACCAGAGTGGGCACCTGCACCCCTGTCATGGGACTGGGAAGCATCAGCTGCCAACTGAGCACCAGATGATCCAGAGTTAGGAAAATCCCTCTATGTGGAATGAGCCACAGGAGGAAGAAGAAATGGGGCCATTCTTAGTTCTCCTCACTGACCTGGGGTTAACCTTTACAACAGAATTTTTCAAATACTTTTAAATGCAGCCCATATTATGAGTACTTTTTATGCAGTGACTTAGTATATATAAACAGCACAACATATATGATCCAGGCACATGGTACTTTCTAGTCTATTAATCCTACTACTTTAAAAAATAGGATTTGAGGACACATTAATTGGTAGCAGTCCAACAATTCAAAAATGCCACTTTAGAAAGTCTCCCGGCATGACCTCCAACCTCACAGTTTTTCTGGGCACTCCCTAAGGTGTCCCTACCTGACAAGTGACAAAGCTGATTGCTATTGTTTTGCAGCTTAGAAAGCAAAGAGATCATAACCAGGACTGTGGGTTTCGAAGAGCTAAAAATACAGAACAGAAAAAAATCTACCTTGGTTTCTCTTAGATGCTTTGTTCATGACCCCCGGAGAAAAAGTCTCACAATTTCTCTTCACTATAAATGCTAAGAATCTTTAATAGCAATAAAACAGTGAAATCCATCTCAGGACCCCCCCACACCCTGCTCAGGGCAACCATTTCATCATGCTCTGTCACTGTCATCATAAATAAGATCTAGGTCTTACAAACGTGTCTGCTACCTGGGACAAGCCCAGAGCCAAATCACATCTCCATATCCAGAACGTGGTTGACAAATGTGCCACTTTCCCTTAGACACACAGCATATTCCTTGCTGCAGTATAACTGGAGTTTTTAAAAAAAAAACTTTGTAATAGAAGATTCTATAGAAGAGGAACAGATGAGTGAGCGGTTGGGATCAGCGTTGAGCCTCATAACTTTCTCTTTAGTGTCTGACTTGCATCTGTTCGAGTAGGTCTGTTTTATTAATACTTACTGGCCTAAAGCTACAGCCATAATATTAAAGATGCAGTGTTAGCACAGCACTGACATATAGATTGTTTTCTATGAGAAAGAAATTAATGCTTGCATAGGATATTGAACTCCTGTCTTTCCTCCAAGTTTCTGGCCTCCATGCTCAAAGGCTGGATTAAAGATAAAGATTAGAAAGGAGATCCTAAGGGGGTTACCATTAAGAATAGGGTAGAGATCAATGAAAGCTAGGCTAGGGGACTCAGGCTGAGCTGTCACCTCACCTCAATGTGAGACCCAAATTCCTCCCCATTGCTCAATCCTCAGCCATCGGGTAATACACATGGACTCACATGTACTTGGTAAAGAGGGCAACAAAATAATCCCTTAACTCATAAAACATCCAAACAGCTTTGTCAGGCAGGTGGCAGAACTTTAATCATAAATGGTGGGGGTTCTTTTGTCACTAAGAATAAGAGAGTGTAGCCACCCCCAGTTTGATCCAGGCCAGCATTTATACTCAAAACATTGAAGGGTGGAGCATTTAAATTCAGTTTCTAGGCAGGTATCCAGTTTATTAATGGATACCAGGGACTTGCAAGCCCCAGCCTAGGAGCCCCTTCCAAGCAGATGAGAACAATAGGGTCTTCAACCACAAAGGAAGGCAGGGGTTGAGTGGGAAGATCATAACCCAGTAACCTGGTCCGTGCTTCAGGACAGGACTCCAGATGCATGAATCAGAGAGGGCCTTAGAAACCAGGGGCCGGGTAGAGGGAAAGTTGCGCCTACAGAGTGCGCTCAGAAACAGGAGCCAGCACCAAACTGAGGGGATTGCCAAACAGTGTGTCACTAGTCTTGCCTGGCCTGATCTTCCATGCCAAAGAGATTGGGCAGGTAACTACCTCTTCTTGATGAGATTAGGTTGTGTCTTAGAGATGGGAGGATAAACTCAGCTGACCTCAGGACAGATTTTCTTGTCAAAAGATACTTGGAATCTCGCCTTCCTGTTATCACTGAGGAAGGGATTGGTAGAAACTAATGAAGCATGAGCCTGCCCCGTAGGAAGAAAACACACTCTATAACCTCACTGATTAGAAATCCACCCAAAGAAGCCCAAGGCTCACTTACTGCTCCATAATTTAGCAGCTTCTCTCTGGCCACTTCTTTGGATTAATTAAATGGTATTTTTTTCCAAGATAACATGCCCTCCCCATTTCATGAAGTGTCTTTATCAACCCTTATTTACATCTTTAGCTTTATTTACATAGCTGAAAATGGTGACATTTCTAATGACACATGTCTGTGTTTTAAAACAGAGTTACCCCCATCATGGAGAACGCTACCTCCACATCCACCCCACACTGATGCTGAGGGAAAAGAAAGAACTCTGAGAAGTGTAAACTGCTTCTGTTATGGAACAGAAAATACCCCCATGAGGGACTGACTTCCACATGGAGCTCAACAGCTCCGCAATGCCACCATAAAAGCAGACCCTGGGTTTGCTTTTGTGTCATGAGACTCTGGAGAGAGAATGAAGATATACTTTTTTTTTTTTTTTTAAGACAGAGTCTCACTTTGTCACCCAGGCTGGAGTGCAGTAGCATGATTTCGGCTCACTGCAACCTCTGCCCCCTGGGTTCAAGTGATTCTTTTGCCTCAGCCTTCTGAGTAGCTGGGATTACAGGCACATGCCACCACAACTGGCTAATTTTTGTATTTTTAGTAGAGATGGGGTTTCACCATCTTGGTCAGGCTGGTCTCCAACTCCTGACCTTGTGATCCACCCGCCTCAGCCTCCCAAAGTGCTGGGATTACAGGCGTGAGCCACCACAGCCGGCAGAAGACATGCATTTATGCCTGTGGTATGATTTTGTGATTAGGGTTTTTTTCCTGAGCTGGGCTTGACAAAGTTCTCCTGCAAAGAGTAGTAAATATTTTAAGCTTTGCAGGTCATAGGCTCTGTCTTGCTATCATTCAACCCTGCCCCTGTGGCACAAAAGCAGCCACAGACAATACATGAACAATGGGCATGGCTGAATTCCAAAAGAAAACCTTTATTTACAAAAACAGGCACTGGGCCAGATTTGTCTTGCAGAATGTAATTGGCTGACACCTGTTTTGGATAAAAAATACTCTTTTCTCCGTGAGGCCACGCCTCCTATCCATCAGGCCTGTTAGTCACGGCCCAGTGTTGCTCCTCAGTACTTCTATTTTCCTCCTTTCTCCTTCGCTTTTCTTTCCCTGCTCCTTTTTTGTTTCTCTCTTCTCTATCTTCACTCTCTTTCTGTTTTTCTCGAGAAGCACTTGCCCACCACATTGTAACGTCATCATCTGCCCCGCAGATCTGTCCTCTACTGGACTGGCTTAGGCTCTTCCTGCGTTTGTAGTTTTCCCACCATGCCTTGTAGGCAGTAAGTGCTCGGTCAGTGTTAGGGATATTTTACTTACCTGGGCTATTTTACTCCTGTTTCTGAATTCCTGGTCTTCCCCCATAACCTCCACAGCAACCGTGTTTCAGGAGCAGCTCCTCCCCTGTGTTTGGGGCTCTCAGCGTCGCAGGCACAGCCACGGGGATGGGATTGAGTGCAAGAACCTTCAGCAGCTGGTTCCTGCCTGAAGCGAGGGCCGCTGTTGCAGTTCAGAACACACCTGATTGTGGTAGAACAAAGGAGCCCTGGGAGGAGCCTGAGTCAGACCGAGAGGGGGCTTAGAGCCTCAGAGATTGTTCCAGAAGGCAGAAGGCCTTTCATAGCTTTCGGGTCTGAGGCGTTCCGCCCAAGAGGATGTCTGGCGGGTGGAAGCTTCCCTTCTACACTCCCGCCCCATTCATCCTCTGTTTGGCCCTCACCTCTTCCAAGAGAAGGGCTCCTTCCTCCTGTTTTGCAAAATGACTGATTTTCATTTACACCAATCTAGCGGACAGACTGAGTCGCTGCAGGGCTAAGGTAAGTGTCTGACTTCAGCAGCCCCTGGGGCAGGAGCTTCTCTGACGGTTAAAGAGCCGCTCGGGAGGCCTCGGGCCGCCCCACATGGTCTTTTTCTTGGGGAATAACTTACCTGCTGAGTGTGCATCTTAGAGGCCTGCTTAGCTTTGGCTTCAGAAAGGGTGTCATTTGGGGCTCGGCCTGAGTCCATGCTGCTCTTAGTCTCCTTCCGCGAGGCATTTCCCCCTCCCTCTTCTCCGTGGCCTCTTGCTAGTTCACAGATGCACCAACGCATCCAATTTTCATCTGGCCAAATCAGTTACAAGTGTTACAGATTGTAATTACCCAAGGAACTCCTGAAAACTAATTATGTAATTTGCAATCCCCACAATAAATTACACCTTTCCTTTGGCTTGATGTTCCAGAAAACTGTTTTCTGAAGGAGGCAGAGAAAGAGTGTTGCTCATCCCTGCCAGGAACGCTCACGAAGTGGCTCTTTATTTAGCTCTGCTGCATGTTTGTGGGTGTTTGTCAGAGGTGGCCACAGGCGCCGTGCCAGGGCTCTGGGCAGCAGCCACATCATCTTTTGCCACTAAGGGGGATGTTGCCGGAATACCCATGGGCCCGTGTCTTGTCGTTCCACCACCAGGAGAAACTTCAGTTTCCTTGGGCAAAAGTCTGGGAGGCCAGGTAATGGAAAACAAGCGGCAGATACAGGAGATGCTTAAAAGGGAAAGAGAAGCAACGTGTTAACTCGGTCTGAGACTAGTGGAGTCATGTTAAGTGATGGATCACTAGAGCGTTCCTCAGCAAGAGTACCTGCCAGAGAAGAAACCAGGGCAGACATTTAAATTTTTCCTTTTCTTGTTTTCTTCTCACTACGAGCAGACAATGGAATCTCAGAGGTTGCTGTCTCAGCTGTGGGTACCAATAAAGGCTTTCCTTGCATTCAAAAAGAATGCTATAAAATTATATCAGTGATAAAGAAATTAGCTCATTTATAGGACTGGTAGCTTCAGAGTTGCAGACCCTTCACTGGGAACTACCAGTCATGTGAAATGCTATTCATAACTGTTAGTAAAATCATCAGGAGAAAAGGGGAAACGAGAAGCAACTTATGAACATTTCAGGGATGGGGCAGGGGACAGAGAAGTTTAGTAATAATTGGTTATGTCAGGAAGGCCAAGGAAGGTGGACAGAAAGAAAATGTTCTTTGAGTCTCAGTAGTAGTGAGAAGGTTCCCACTGCGAAGAGATGAGCTTGGGATTGGTCCTCTGTGTCTGTGCATGCGCAGAGGTGGTATATGTGTGTGGCAGTGACTGTGCATACACATGTGCACATGCATTTGTGTGTGTGCAGATATAAATTGTGTGGATGTGAGTGTGGGTGTGGATATGAGTCTGTGTGTGCATATCTGCTTTTCTATAGGCATTGTGGGGTATGTGTGTGTGTGTGTGTGTGCATATGTATGTGGGTGTACATGTGTGCACGTACCTCTGTGTGTATGTATGTGTGTATAGAGACATCAAAACACACTAGATAAGAGCCCTTTACTCTTCTCCTTCAACCTTGGTCCTTACTTCCCTATTACAACTGATGTGGTTCTTACTGTAGATTCGCATTGAACCGACCACCTCCTCTCCTAGGAGGGCTGGAGGAGGGAGAGACATGGTGTTCTTCAGCTGCACATCCCACCCTGAGCCTGGCTTCCGGTAAGTGCTAGCTCAGTATCTGCAGAGTGGTGGACTGCACCCCACACTGATGGGATGGGGGACAGTTAGGGTGCATGGCGGGCAGTTCTCATCTCACTTCCTCCCTTACCAGACGTGCTAAGTTCCATTTTGCAACATTGGGAGTCTAGGTTTTGTCACTTGTTTTTTGAGCATTGTTTTTAAAACAGAAATGCATGTTTTCAAATTAGCATGGACCCGATTACAGCATATAGAATGAAGTCTACAGAAATATGAAGAAACTCTTCTTTTTTCAAAAGTCTTGACGTTGGAAGAAACCAAACCTCATAGAATGTTCTGTCTTTTACTGCAAACTCCAGTATGCTCTTGGCGATTCTCACATTCTCGCCTCTCATGTCTGCTTGATAATCTGTCGTATTAGTTTGGAAATGGTTCAGGAACCTATTCAACCTCTCCTTGTAAAAGCTGCTTTTGTGAAAACAGTCATTCCTCTTTGCCTTTATAAGCACAAACGTTCTAACTTGGTTTCTTTTTCCATTTCCCCTACTTTATTCCATATACCATGCCAGAGTTGCTGTATTAGTCTATCTTGTACTGCTGTAAAGAAATACCTTTACATGGCCAGAGAAGGAGGAAGATGGGAGGGAGGGGCTACATATTTATTTGTTTGTCTGTTATTTGAGATAGAACCTCACTCTGTCACCCAGGCTGGAGTGCAGTGGTGTGCTCTCAGCTCACTGCAAACTCCGCCTCCTGGGTTCATGCAATTCTCCCACATCAGCCTCCTGAGTAGCTGGGATTACAGCTGTGCACCACCACACCCGACTAATTTTTGTATTTTTAATAGAAACAAGGTTTTGTCATGTGGGATAGGCTTACACACTTTTAAGTAAACAGATCTCATGAGAACTCACTCACAATACAGTATCAAAGGGCAATGGTGCTAAATCATGAGAAGCTGCCCCCTTGATCCAGTCGCCTCCCACCAGTCTCACTTCCAAAATTGGGGCTCATAACTGAACATGAGATTTGGTGGGGACACAGATCCATAGTATATCAGTTACCTTTCAATAAGAAGATCTACTTGTATTAAATGAGAAACTATGAAATTGCTGATAATTCACCTCTCTGGACCTACAAAAATCCTCAGTCTAACACAGGTCACCATGACACTGCTACCTAGCTCTTGAGTCTGTGTTGCCTCTCATGACAATGGTTTTTTGAGAAGAACTTGCTGTATTCTGTTTCCTAATGGGCTCCCCAGCATTAAATAGGCAGGGTGGTATCCAGAATCTCATTTTCCATCGATGTTATTTGCTGGGTAACCAACAGTGAAGATCAGATATTTACCACTGAAATGTAATGTTTAAATCAAATAGTACAATGTCTCTTGTGTACACATGTTATGCCTCCTTGTAATATCAATTGAACTGTATCCTTTCTGAAGTCACTACACCATTTCTCCCAGGAAGCCATTGTCTACAAAATCTGAGAGTTGGTTATGACACTACTAATTTTGAGTTGAGTGACCTTAGACAAATCATCTACCTTCTTAAGCTTTGCTTTTTTTATATCAAAACTAGACATATTAATAATAGTTAACTCATGGGGCTTGTCTGAAAATGAAAGTAAGAGTGCATGTAAAGTGGTCAGTAAGATGATTTGCACCTACCAAGTGCTCCAAGGAGTTGAATTGGTGTTATTCTTCTGGATCAATTCAAGGCCGACGCTGTTAGGATAAATCTTGTCTGGACCCTTCCTGATATTCTGTAGTTAAACGACAACCCTCTGGAGGAATTTTCTCCAAATTCTCCTTAGTCTGAGAGGAGACTGAGGTCTTTATTTGAAAAAGAAAATGACAGGAACCTAATGGAAATCTTTTCTCTCTATTTTTAAAAATGCATATCCAATGAAAATAGTACTAGATATTTCTAACAGTTATATAAGTTTATGTGGAGAAATTTCAAACAGATTTTTAGAATTTGAGTGATTCTTGCCAGAGATGTGGATTCTGAAATGAATTTAGAGGAGTTGCAGAGTTGCTTGGTGGTTAGTATTCTTCACTTTGCTTTATGAGAAAATATTGGTATTGCACTAAGTTTTTAATAGCACATCTAATTATATCCTCATTAATAGATGTCAAATATTATTATTTAAAACATTGCTTCAATTAATTATGTTTTTTAAATTAAACAGCTAATTTCAAACAAGTTATATTTAAATAATTACGTCTAATGCTAATAAAGTGGAGTGTGCTTCAGCATCTTCTTTAGAAACATAAAATGACCTGTGAAATTGAGTCTGAGTTCTTTCCTTGGCTAACCAGCTCCTCAGCTTCAGGCTTCCATCTTCCTGGCTTTAAGTCCCACCAGAATCCATACATGGCTTACATTTCCAACACCAGCAAAGGGTCCCACTCGCTGTGCACACTGTGGTCTCCCATAATGCTGGACTTCATATGTGTGATTCTTCTCCCTGTGGTGTCGTTTCCTCACTTCTGAACCTGAATAAAAGCTCCTATGTTCCCGCTTAGAGACACACCTTCCCTGCCTCCCCTTGACAGAGCTACTGGTTCCGTCTGCTGAGCTCCCAGGGTGCACAGCCTGTTCCTCTGCTGGAACATTCACCAAATAATACTGCAATTGATTTCTGAGCTCATCTTGCCCCAACTCCACTCATAGGCTCTTTTCTATTCTTGTGCCCAGCAAGAGCCCTAGCACATTGGAGGTAGGTGGAAGAAAGGTTGCTCTTCTTTCCTTCTTCCATATTTTTCTCAATTAATGAATAGATAAAAGGAAATCTGTAGACTACTGATACATGTTTGTTGAGTGAATGGATGAATTAAATGAATTAATGACTGTAAGAATTTTAGTGCATGTAGAATTTGTATGGCGTAGGCACACTGAATGTCAAATCAGAACCAGAATATGTACACAGTAGTCCCTCCTTTCTACCAGGGTAAGTTCCAA